TCTCTTTATACTTTGCTTCTCAGATTCTGACGGCATCCCGCCGTTCCTCGAGCAGGTCAAGGTTTAGTCGGATGTCATCATCATTGGTACCCTCGACAAAGTTTATCGTTCGAGGACTCGACAGGCCTATTTCAACCGGGAGGACGGCATCCATGCCATAAACTAAGCTATACGGTGTTTCGTCTGTCGAGGAGTGAGCAATGGTGCGGTATGACCACAGGACGTGAGGAAGCTCGTCGGCCCATGCTCCCTTTGCATCATACAACCTGGTCTTGATCCCATGTAAGATGGTTCTGTTGATGGATTCGGCTTGACCGTTAGCCTGGGAATGGGCCACACTTGAGAAGCGACGCTCGATTTGCATTTTGTCGCACCATGACTTGAAAGGATTGCTCTCGAATTGAGTCCTATTGTCGGAGACGATAAGTTTTGGGATTCCAAAACGGCATACAATGTTCTGCCAGAAAAAATCCAAGACTTTCCTTCCTGTTATCGAGGCCAGGGGTTTAGCTTCTACCCACTTAGTAAAGTGATCTACCGCTACGATAACCCATCTTACTCCTTCTACCCCCTCCGGATGAAAGGGGCCGATGATGTCAGTACCCCATTGGTAGAATGGCCAAGGGCTTTGGAGGGTGACCATCTCGTGCTGTGGCTGTCGGGTGATGAGAGAGAAGAGTTGACACTTTTCACATTTCTGTACCCACTAGTAGGCGTCCTTGAAAACTGTCGGCCAGAAATAACCTGCCCGCAAGACCTTCTTGACGAGTGCTCTTGCCCCCATATGAGCTCCGCGTGATCCCTCATGTATTTCTTCGAGCACATAAGCTGCCTGCCTTGGGCCAATGCATCTTAGCATGGGTAGCAGGTAGCCATGCTTATATAGGACGCCGTCTCGTAATGTGTATTTGACCGCCTTCAATCAGAGAGCTCTGGCCTCCACTTTTCCGCTTGGCAGTGTCCCATCTGTAAGGTATTGGATAAACGGGGTCATCCAAGTACTGTTGTCCTCGACGATGGCCATTACGGGGACTTCCTGGATGCTAGGACTGGGGAGAATCTCGACCCATACTTTGTGGCTGAGATGTGCAAAATTCGAGGAGGCCAACTTGCTAAGGGCGTCGGCCCTTTTATTTTTTGAGCGTACTATGTGGCACACAGTGCATTCTTCGAACTTGTCCTTGATGTCGAGGACTTTCTTGAGACAGCGCTTGAGTTGCTCGTCGTTTGCTGTGTATTCTCTCAATATTTGTTTCACCACTACCTGAGAATCACTAAAAACTTGGATTTTGCGGACTCCGAGCTTTAGTGCCATGTTCAATCCTACTATCAGTACCTCGTATTCTGCTACATTGTTGGTGACTGAAAAGCCGAACCTTAGTGCGTATGTGTACTCCGCGTCAGATTCCCTCATGTTTTCAATGACGGGATCAGCTAGAGGTTTGGATAATATGATACCGGCTCCTTCCCCTTCATCACAACAAGAGCCGTCGACGTATAGTGACTAGGCTCGAGGGTTGATGTTGACGCGAGTGGCAGGATCATCTTTAGGCTCGGCCGTGTCGGAGTGCTACTCAATTCGACAAATGTTCAACCCACCAGAGGCAGAAGATCCCGAGATCTCTAACCTTCCCTCTTTCAAACTGAAAATGATTAAACAACCGAAATGAAAAAAGAAATTTCAAAAATTGTAATTTGTGCAAATGAAGCTACTACTGCATTCCTTTAAAATAAGATTATGCGGTATAATTGGGAGAAGGAATGCTCTGCCAGTGTTAGCGTTTTTCTCCCAAATGAAGCTTTTGAAATACAGACTGAAAATGATTCGAATGCATTGAGTATTTATCAAGTTTATCACCAAGGAATTAGGATTAACTGGTACGGATGAAGATATCATTATATATATTAAAGGAAAGAAAGATAATCGACACGTGTCGCTCATTGAGACCATCAAGCCTAAATTAACACGTGTCATTTGCTAATTGGTTGATTATTAATCAGTTAAATTTTTTTTGTAAACAGTTAATAAATTATTTACTAAATAGGATTTTTACAGATATTATAAATTCCTGATTGTGAGCTTGAAAATGAATATTTTCAAAAATTACTGAAAAACTCCCGACTTCATAAGTCCTTTCATTTGCGAGTTTAAACTTTCAACCTATTGCCATTTTGGCCCTTAAAGTTCCATTTGTGTGCTACTTAGTCTTCAAGTTTACCGATTTTATATTTTCAAGGACGATTAATTGTGTCTCATATTTTATTAGAACTACATCTAATCCCCCAAAGTCCTCTTGCCTATAAATAGACCTTAGGCATCTAGACATAATTTATGCATTTTTTAAATATATTTTTTAATCCAAACATAATATTAGTTAGTGGCGACAATTTTTACTATACAATTTTTGAAAATCTTTGTTGTAATATGTTTGACCAAATCTTACAAATATACATCTCATAAAAAATATCAATAGCTCTCATTTCGATCTAAAATTGATTAATCAAAAAATATTACAGTTTTAAGAAATATTAGTAACTATATTTTTTTAAGAGAACTAGGACGTATATTTGTAACTACATTATCTAATTAATTCTTTTGAAAGATAAATTTTCAACATTGACAAACCCGCGCAAAATGCGGGACACACACTAGTTAAAATGATTTGAAAGGGATCATCGTCAGTTAATTCGGAGGTATGATTGATTCCGTTTCCACTGGTATATCATATTTCACTGATGAGCTGATCATTATCATTTATTAACCGATAATCCGAACACTCCAAGATTAACATTAATGTCGGATCCGATTAGTCCCAAACTAAAACGCATTGGTTTTTTGGAGATAAATGTTACTCCACTACTTCATCACTTTTCTGTCGAGTACTTACTTCCGTCAAATACGGAATTTTGTTGATCAGTGAAGATAATAATAAAAGTTGGTATATTTAGTATAATAAAATCTTACTAGAAAATAACTTTTAAGTCTTATACGAAAATACTGTGTATTTTTTTTCGGGTCAACATATTATTATTATCACTCTCATAAACTAAATTCATTGCATGAGAAGACCTTGTAGTATATCCATAGATGTACCAGATACCCACAATAATAATTAATATCAAATTAACAATAAATCGTCCAAATGGTCGTAGGAAAAAATTTGAAAAATGATCGTTGGTCCATTCCTAAATGCAAAATCATCTGCATTAAAACTATAACAGCATAGACAACTATAAATCCATACCCAACAATTTTTCGAGAAAAAAGGACTACAAAACAAATAAATGAATGAAAAAATTGAGCAATATTTTTTTCTGTTCATTGGGAAATTTGCAACCACAAAATTTGGAGAAAACTTACTGAAACAACTCTAGCATAGATCTAGTTCGCTTCCCAAGACAAGTGATAGACAATATATCTTTAAACTTATTAATAATTGTTATATTTTCTGTAACTATATATTTGTTTTGTTCTGAAATTATTGACCAGTTTAGATTTTTTTGTTTTAGTACAAATTAAATTAAAAGTGAAAATTTAAATTATACAATAATTTTGGGACAGAGAAAGTGTTATTTATGGTTTCCAATTCCGTGGTATAAGAAAGGTGCAATAAAATTTGATTGTAGTAGTCATTTAGAGAACATTGATGGAGTTTAGAAGCTCCTTGCTACGCTGGATTGTACACATGAATTAAAAAATGACATCATGACAAGCACGTCCACATGGATCTAAGCCGCACATAATCTTGGAATATTGGAAATACAGCTTGAAATATTGGAAACATTTACTTTTGATAATTTTCGCTTAGTTTATATGTTACATGTGGAATTTAGTACTATCTCATATTTTATTGCCAAAGTACTCTCTCCGATATTAAGGCCTTTTAATTTGTCATAGGTTTCATCTAGTATATATTTTTTCAATTAAGAAAAAAATTAAAAATATATTTTCTCATTTATTGTATTTTCCTAATCATTAATAAATACTTTTAAAAAAAATTTTCTTAACCCAAAAACCGTAATAGGTGAAATCTACGATAAATCAAAATGCTTTATAATAAGAACTGGAAGGAGTATTACTTGTTTGTTTGATTCCACGAGTAATATTTGTTCATTTAGTTAATTTTTTCGGGCGTTTCTTGTGTAGTGTGCCCCAACCTAAGTTCGTTATTTGCAAATCTAATTTCTATTTTAAAATTGCTACTGCCATTAAAGAACAAATGATCCAAAGTCAATTGTGGGAATTTGTGATAATTTTGTGGTTCCCGACAAAACAAAAATGTACTTCTTGTTTTCACATTTTTTAATTGAAGTTTTATATTTTATTTTTTGTCTGCTGTTAGAAAAAGTCCCCTCTGAACCGCGTAATATGACTTGGATAACAACCACAGGATTTTCGAAAAAGGATAACAACACAGAGAGTAGACTTTGATTCTTTTTTTTTTTTCTTTTTTTTCTCAATATACACCACCTCCCAGAACTTTGAAACCAATTTTGAGATCGCCACATGGTTCTTTCACTATTTAATCTGGTAAATTTGTCATTTACCTTTTATATGTGTAGTAATCGATTGTTCATCAATCCATTTATTTGCTAAATTAGTTGAATGGGAGGGTGATATTAGAAAATCATCATTCCAGCGTTACATACGAATTGTTGGCTTAAAAATTTCCGTAATGATTTTGTTAATGATTTGAAGAAATTGAGATGATGGCCCTGATCCGAAAACCAAATATCAAGTTAATTTGCGAGAAGACCATAGTTAAAGAGAATGATAAACTATGAATATGATGAACATAAGTATGCACACCCGCTTAAAATAATGCTCGTGTTTATCATCTATACTAAAATAACCAATATTTCTAATGAAATAAGTGTTCTATTTAAAATTTATTTTTAATTTAATTACAATCGTGTTGGAACTCAAACTAAAAATGAAAATTCAACTTAGATAATGATTGTGAGAGGAGGAACTAAGAAAAATAAGATAATAATTATGTTAGGAAAAAAGTATAAACTGTATAATAGTTTGCAAGTTACAACTTGAACAAGAACCGGAGGACGTGTATTCCACAATGACTAAAAGTCAACTAGCTTTGCCTACAATTACATTTAGAAATTAGAACAAGCTTTTTTGTACCAATATATTTATCCTCCTTAAAAATCAAGAACAACCAACAAACAGAAACCAATCTCTTCTTCTTCTTCTTCTTCTTCTTCTTAAGTTATGCAGAACAAACATTTTAGCCATGTTCACGCCCTGGTTCATCACCAAATCCCCCAAGATGAGGAAACTCAATGTTCCGGCTGCAAACTTCCGGCGTCCGGCAAAGCCTACGCTTGTTTGGAATGCAACTATTTCCTTCACGACCAATGCTTTCAGGCAAGACGATCTTTAAGACACCCTTCCCACCCTTCTCATCCTTTGATGTTATCTTCATGTCCAACTTATCCCACCAATTCCTTCAATTGCAACATTTGCAATCTCGTCGGAAATGGCTTTTCTTATTGCTGTTCTGAATGCGAATTCGACCTTCACGTCCACTGTGCTTTAAAACCCAATCCAACTCCTCCTAATTATTCCATGCCTCCAAATCCCCCCTTTGTTTCTCCTTACCCCGATTATTCGAATTTTAATCCTGGAGGAAGGCCAGGTTTCAATCCTCCACCGTCATCAATTCCGGCCCAACAAGCTCAAAACTTTAATCCTAATAATGCCAACTTTCCTTCGATTTATGATATTCAGGAAGCTAACCGAGCAGCTGAGGCAGTTGATGCCGCTTATGCTCGAGCTCGTCTAGAAGCTAGAGGGAGAGTCTATGCGCTCAATTTGATATAGAAAATGTGAAATACTTCCATTAAAACATATTCATATACCTCTGAGATTGAGATGGTTTGGTTTTATCAAGATATTGTAAAGGTCGTTTATTTTGAAACGTAGCTCCACATGGTGTTGTATCTATATATATGTGTAATAAGAATTTTAAAGTGTGCTCAATTTGGCCATTTTTTTGTTTCCTTGTTTACTTTGAGCAGATGTATTCTTCTTCCCTTACATATTTGGAAAGTGGAAATAATGTTTGTGTCTCGTACCTGTTATGGTTACATTGCGATAGTCACTCACCACAAGGAGTAAGTTAAAAGTTTTGAAGTTAATTACTGTTGAATTTGTTGGTCTCTTTTCTTTTCTTTTTTCTCTAATATTATTTAGTTACACATTTGATTTTAACTAAAAAAGGGGATCACGGCTGACCAATAACTTGATGGATTAAACTTGATCTATCTAATCGTTGGTTAGCCCAAGGCTGTTAAACATCTAGCAGTACCAGAAAAAGACAATATGGAATAAGACTTTTGTTATTGTTAAAACAAATACTATCTCCATTTTTTTTTATTTGTCGCATTAGGCTGAATTCAAACAAAAAAAAAATTTATCTGTTGCACTCCATTTCTAATGTAGCATTAAATACAATTTTTTCAATATTACCATTATCTTTCCCTATTGTCAATACATATATTAATAACAACTACATATTCTTTTACTTCAATTTCAATTTTTTGTTGAATTGCAATCTTTTAATCTCTCTATATATTAAAGAAATTCTTTTTCAGAGACAGGTATCATTCAATTAGCTCATTAATAAGTTTTCTGAACACATGTCAACTTCTTATTGGTTTATTTATTTACTGAAATTTATAAAAGTAAAATGGTTATATTTGTTAAATTTACTTAATCCCATTGGTTAATTCCTGTAGACCAATTATAATCAAAATTGGTCGTACAAAATGACCGGCAAAATATCTCCAAAATCTCCGGACAAGGCATACACGGCTACTACGACTAAAATTTCAAGAGATGATGAATTTATGTTCCAAAAAGGATAATCTCCATAATTCCCTTATCTTCATAAACTGATGCCTTCCATTAGGATAATTTCCATAGTTCCCTTAACTAATTGATAATTTCCTTCAATTTGAATGTGATTCTTATCACATTTCTAAAACATCCCCGATTTAAAATCGTCATACTTCCCCGAATGGAAACATTATACTTCTCTGCTTTCCTTAAGCAAACATCTTAATTGAAGATAACTTTTCCCAAACTCACAATCAGAAGTTGAATGTGATCTTTATCTTACTGGTGGCTAAAAGCATGAAATCCTTATATTACAAAAGGCTTTTGTTTCTTTGAATATATATCCCATATGTGCAAATAATATATCAACACACAAATAGACTCAAAATCATACAATATCACAAACAGTATCCCTAAGCACCAACAATTTTTATTTTTTCCTTGATTTCCCTACCATCAATGTCAAGAATGCTCAACCTGTTAGCCAATTGAACGGCACAATTGGATGCGGATGGATGATTAACATGAAATTGTGCTGGGTATGAGACCAGCCGGCGTGGAACAACCATGACCAGGTCGAACAACGGGAAATGCTTCTTATGGACAACAAGGTATCTTTACAAAATACTATGCCTGGTAGTGAATATTTTTTATGGTTTAGATAATGATGAATTGCTCCGCCGATGGAAACATTGATTGTTTGCGTGAGTTTATAATTTTTTAAATTATGATCATCCGACTTATTGATTACTGAAATAGGGAGATCAAATCGTGAATGATGACAGAACGAATCATGTGGAAATTTGTAGGGAGTGAATGATTTGGATGAAAGTGAACTATAAAAGGCAAATATTTAAGTAGATTTTCATTATTAAAGCAAAAGCTATAATGATTACATTGACATTAAGTGTATCTTTTCATTGGTTTTAATTGGTGGGTTTGAATTGCAGCAATTATCGTTCTAAGATTCTGAAACGACTATTGTGATCTATACCAAAATCGCCATCTGCTTATTGGTTCCTTCCTCTTATTGGGTTTTGCACGATTGGTTCAATTGGACATTTTCAATTTCTACCCAAAAGTTTTCCAATTTGCACTAATTTGACCATTTTTTCTTCATTTTGCAATTCAGCCCCTGGATTACCACAAGTCACTAAATTAGCCTATAAACATAAAATCTTAAGCTAATTGACCTAAAAGTAAAGCATAAAGAGGTAAAATGAGTGCTTAAAAACATAATATGATTTGCACTCATCACTTATCACCTAATTGATCTGCGCTCTGGATTTTTGTTGCTGTCGATAGCCAAATTGCTATTATTCCCGATGTATTGTCGGCTGTTCATATTTGTATCTTGCCGATTGTTTGTCAGAATTTTCTTCCAATTTTTTCCATTTGTTGCTTCTTGGCAATTGTTGCATTCAAGCACAAAGGTTTATTTTAATTTGGGGTTTGATACTATCATTTTTGTGTTAAATGATTCCAGCTGGCTTAATGGTTGATTCATTGCAAAATGCTTGGAGGATAGGAAAGATTGGATGGAGATAAAATCTTCCATGTGTACGGAAATCAAATGTGCAATGCACAACATTGATCTATTGATACTTTGCAAAGGCTAGGAGGATAGATTTGTACCAACGTGGATGAAAATGTAGAAAATCAAGTGTACAGAAAATTTGTGCTTCTTTAGTGAGTAGAAATTAGTTTCTTATTACTTTGTAAATAATATGAATTTTTTTTTTTTTTTGCACTGTGCTCATTAAGTTGGTTAGAATAATATGAATGTACTCATCATCTTATAAATCCTTCAGTCTGAGAATCATGAAATGTATGATTTTCTATCCTGCCTTTTCTCCATTGATTCTAATAAAAGAAATCTCTTCAAAAAATTATCAATCAAGTTCTATTATTAAGATAGCAATAACTTTTCGAAAAAAATATACTAACTAAGATAAATGTAAAATCATTTGTGAAAGTAATTGCAAAATTTATTCTACTACTTGGATTTCTCTCGTGGCTAAATTTGTTTGAAATTCAGAATTCATCTAAAAAAAATTTAATTATGATTTCTAGTACCTTTGTCCGTTGATCAATGGTTTATTAAATTTAATGATGCAGTTTTGTAGTTAAAAGGATAATAAAGAAGGATGATAAAGAGCAATGCTAATATTGCATTTCAGGATTTCAAAAATTTAATGATGCATTTTTTGTAGCTAAAAGGATAATAAAGAAAGATGATAAGAGCAATGGTAATATTGCATTTCAGAATTTCAAAGTATCATCTAGAGGTTGGAGTTGTGGTGTAATTTTGAATTAATCAACAAGCAGGATGGAGATATCTCAGTGTTGTAAAATAGTATGAATGAAATACGGATTAAGGTACTAGAAAGTGGATAAGTGCTAAGTTGATTCTAGAAGTTGTTTCAAACCTACTTGCTGAAAAAGAAGTAATTGTGATGGGATCAATTATTAGTATTCTGATCCAAGTGATTAAAATCCTTTCAACGTTTGTCTCTTTTTTTTTTGGTATATTACGCACCCAATGTCTGAAGTCATTGCTCCGATCAATCCGGATTCGAGGCAGGTAGGTCCCTTTCAGGAAGCAAAACTCTCCCAACAAGTATTTTGATCATTGTTGTATATAAGTCTATTCCCGGGTTTCAAAGTTTGTCTCTGCTGATTTGTGTTGTTAACTCTTTTTGGCACCAAATAAAATCACTTTACTACACCTATGCAATTTATATTTATATGTTGCCAATGAACTGTAAGGTTATTTAGTGCTTGTTTGGACGTCAGTTTCATTTTTATTTTTGACTTAAATCTGGAAAGTGATGTAAGGGGAATACGTAATGGAAGATGAAAACGTTGTTTGGATGGTATTTTAGAATAGTGACCGTTTATGAAATTTAAATAGTTCAGTGACTTTACTGAAGACTTTACAATAGTTTTGTGACTATCGGCTCATCACCAACCATTGCCAGCTGAATGGAGACAGCCGCGACAGAAATCAGCAGCCGCAAAGCTAGTCAACACTGAGGTGGATCCTTCTGCGTTGTTGCTGTTAGTGAGCAAGGTGTGCCGGCTGCAACCTTTTCTCAAGCGCAGGTCTAGTAGCGGATCACACTTCTTGGAGGTCAACAATCAGCTTCTTCAGCCAATACTTTAGGCCAAGTTTCTGGTGAGACCGATCCTTGGGATGCCGATTCCGACGCCATACACCATGCCTCAAATGACATTCGGTTGATGACTTATTTACTGCCTTCTGATAGTAGCTATATTCAGATTTCAAATGGCGTTTGTGTGCCTGTCTGGGCCATTGGGACGATTAAATTAGATAAAAATTTGATTCAAGATGTTTTAGGAGTGCCAAATTTTCATTTTAATTTATTGTCTGTCAGTAAATTGCCGAGAGACTTGAATTGTTTTTTCACATTTGGGCCTGATTTTTGCTTCATACAGGACTTAGCCTCAAGGAAGCTGATTAGAGTGGGTAGGATGTGCAAGGGCCTCAACTATTTGGAACCAATGAGGGGTGGTGATGGGAAGCAAGTGAAGCGAGTGTTGGTTATCCGAAAGAACAATACAGCATCTTTGTGGCATCGACACTTGGGACATTTGCCGATAAGCCGTCTTTCTTTGGTGCCAAATATTTCAATTGATTTTAATTCCTGTAGTGGTTTTGTCTGTGATGCATGTTGTAGAGCAAAACACACTAGATTGCCATTTCCTTTACATCATAATAAATCGTTTAATGTTTTTGATTTGATAGATTGTGATGTTTGGGGTCCTTATCAAACACCATCAAAATCTGGAGAAAATATTTTCTTACAATTGTGGATGATTGTAGTAGGGTCACTTGGGTCTTTCTCATGGGACATAAATCGGAAACTAAGCGATATTTGCTAATGTTTTTCAATTAGGTGCATACTCAGTTTAAAACTAAAGTCCAAGTATTTTGAACATATAATGGCCTTGAATTTAGTCATACTACTCTATTGACTCAGTTCTTTGATAATGGCATTGAAAGACAAACCAGTTGTCCATATACTCCTCAACAAAACGGGATAGTAGAACGAAAACATCGTCATATTCTAGAAGTGGCAAGAGCCCTACGCTTTCAAGGAAAATTACCGATTAGTTTTTTGGGATAATGTGTCCTTACTGCTACTTATTTGATTAATCGCATGCCTTTATCTGTGTTGAATAATCGGACACCTTATGAGATTTTGTTTGGATGTAAACCTTCTTATAATCATCAACGTAGTTTTGGATGCATGTGTTATGTACATGTTCTGTCTCAAACTCGAGATAAATTTGCATCTAGGAGTCATCCTTGTGTGTTTGTTGGTTATCCACATGTTCAAAAGGGTTACAAGGTTTATGACTTGGATCGTAAGGTGATTTATACGTCCAGAGATGTTCAGTTTTTTGAGAATATTTTTCCTTATGCAATGATGTCTAAGTCGGCAGAAACAATTCAGGGACATGGCCATTCTCATTCATTACTAGATTATACTTTGGATCATTTTCCTGTTTCGGATAAAGCAGATATTTCCACGGCTCCTAATCACTTAGAGTAGAATTTTTCATAGTCAGACTCTCCACCCTCTTCTGACAGTTATACATCTGATGATTTGAC